TTTTACAGGTATAATATACTGAATAAATCATAAAATATGAACAATTTGAATTATCAAAATTAAGCCTAAAAATAGATCCGAAAACCTACAAAGACGGATGCAAAGACGGGAGGGCAAGAAGAGACTCTGGACTCATGTTGGACCACTCATTAATATTATTGCAGAGCCACATGATCACCGTATGTCATGGGCCCATGGGGCAAAAGTTTGACACCATTCACATGCCATGTTGAGGTTTTTCCCCATCAATAATGCTTTTATTCACTCACAGATATAGGTAGGTAGGGAGAAAATTCTAACAGAAAAAATAAGCGTTAATTATATTTTGAATAAATTACGCTCATTTCTCGTAAAGTTTTGGAAAAATATAATGAATCTTATCTCTTTAACATAGTTATACTAACATTTCTTGCAAGCGCCGTTTGGCAAGTTATTTTAGCTTAAAAACAAGGTTGTTAAAATCGGGATCCTAAGTAGGATCGGTGAGAGGGTTTGATGGATCGGATCGTAGGATCGGATCGAGGATCGTAAGATCCTACTTTCTATTAAAAAAAAAATTAAAATTAAAATTAAAATGATACATATTAAAAATAAGGTGAAAAATCATAAAATCTACGATCCTACTTGCGATCCCACCTACGATCCCATACGATCCTACACGATCCCATGCGATCCTACACGATCCTACTTGCGATCCTGTTATAACATCGATCCTACAACGATCTGGATCGTTTTGGCAAAGTAGGATCGTAAGATCGTACGATCCTACGATCCGGATCGCGATTTTAACAACCATACTTAAAAATAAAAATGTTACACACATATACACACACGGAAAAAGTCAAAAAGTCAACTGATACAAAAAAGTTACTAAAAAAACTTGTTTCCACACAAGGCCTTAATATGATTAAAATAACTGAAACTAATATCTATAATAGGTATGAAATACCAAAAATAAATTACATTTTAGTAAAAAAGAAATCATAATATATATATATATATATATTCATTTATACAACTAATGAAATGAAAAATGACTTAAGTATTATATGAATAAAAATCTTGAAGTAGGTCAGTGTAATTTTGCCTTCGTTTGGCATGTCAGGCTTTTTAGCTTTTTGGTTATTTTAGTCATAAAAAGACAAAATAAGTCTTTTAGTCTAATAAAACAAAACATCACATTCAAACCATAATCATTTTATTTTTTCTTTCATAAAAGTCAAAAATAAAAAAGTCTATCCCAAATTAAACTTTTTAGTCTCAGGTTAAAATAACTAAAAAGTCAAAAAAATCAACCTACATCCAAACGAACATCATAAGTGTACGGCTAATTGTATTTTTTTTTAAAACTTCAAGGGAGGTGCATATAATTTATCCATATATTTTTGGTCATTAAAATATAAGTATGTGTTATTTCAATCTACGATGTTTAAATGTGTCAATTTAATTCTCAATATATTAAAGTGTTTCAATTTAATTTTCAATGTTTAAATTATGTTAATATAGTCCCTAATTATAAAAAGTGTTTGAGAATTAAAATGACACAAGACTCATATTTTAAAAACAAAAATATAATTTACCTGTATGGTTCAAATTTAATTTAGAGACTATATTAAACCTTAATTACAAATAAAACGTAGCAACGATTTTTAAATAGTAAAATTATCATGATTTTAGGTTAAAGCAAGTAAATTTACGGCAGAGTTAGATAAATTGAAGGAAAAATATCAAATAAATAACAAATGAAGAAAGTAATTTCAAATGTAGAGTGCAAGTGGGAGTTGTACTTCTGTTCCAAAAGAAAAAATGTGGCGGTTGTACTTTGGTGTGGATTCTTTCACTTGCACCTCTATGTGTTTAAAATTAATTTTTTCATTAACCATTTTTAAAAAAAAAATTCTTATCTTATTGCTCAAATTAAAGACTTTGTTCATTGGATATGTTATTATTAATATTGTAAAATAAATTAAATTACTTGAGTTCGATTTATTAAAAAATTAATTTAAATTTGTTTATCATATAAACAAGTCAATGTTAAACATATTTTACAAACTTGTTAAGTTATCAAATTAACAAATTATTACTTGATTAAACTCAATATACATTACAAAAACTAAACTATTCAGACTTAATTAAGCCTCATTTAAAGTAAAATTAAAAAGTAAAAAAATAAAATAAACTAAAACTCATTAAGGCTCTATATGTTTTTTTTTTAGCTAAAAAAAAATCAAAAAATTAAAAAGTTAAAATGATACGATATACAAATCAATTAATTTTTTTTCTCATAATTATTTATTTAATTAAAAAAATCATTTCAAACACACTCACTTTTTTCATCTTATAAAAAATTAAAAAAAACTAAAATGTCACCAAACACCAAACGGAGACTAAATCACACGTGAACTAACCCTACCATGCAACTTGACTCGAGTCACCTCAGTATCGTTGTACACATTTGGGAAATCTAATGGGAAAATAACTGTTCAAGTGACTTTTAAAAATTATTATAATTTTATAAAAAAATATAATTATAATATTTATCAATTTTTTTATAATTTCTTTTTCTTAAAAATCACTCACATGCTATTTGTCCAAGGGAAATATTTGAGTGTGTAAGATGCATATTATATGTATTTGTGTAAGATCTCACAAATATAAATAAATTATTTTCTAAATTTGCGTAAGTTCTCATAATATACATAACTCAACTTATGAAAATTTATGATTTCTCAAATTTTTATGAGTTATGAGTTAACTTACATATATTTGTGAAATCTTACATAATTTTATGAGATAACTTAGGTATATTTATGAAAACTTATAAATATATATACACACTTACCCCCTCAAGAATTAGGATAAATTATACTTTGCATCCCTGTACTTTGTATCAAATCTCACTTTGGGCCCTACACATGAAATTGTGACAGTAAACTTCCTGTACTTTTGGTCAAATCTCATTTTGGTCTCTAAACATGAAATCGCGACAGTCAGTCCTCTACACTTTTATTCAAATCTCACTTTGGTCTCTATACACGTCTTAATGTGCCTCTTTTATTATTTCATTTTTAAATTTTTAACAAAATCTAGTTATGTAACTATGAAATGAGAGTAAGAGAGGAAAATTATCTATATTTTTTACTAATACAACACATTTTATCTCAAAATTTATATCAAAATATAATTGTGTTAGACTAAACCAAACGCAAATTGTGAACAATTAAGAAGATGAACTAGGATTTTGCATAAATTGGAATCAAGTAAACTTCCTGTACTTTTGGTCAAATCTCACTTTGGTCTCTAAACATGAAATCGTGACAGTCAATCCTCTACACTTTTACTCAAATCTCACTTTGGTCTCTATACACGTCTTAATGTCCCTCTTCTATTATTTCATTTTTAAATTTTTAACAAAATCCAGTTATGTAACTATGAAATGAGAGTAAGAGAGGAAAATCATCTATATTTTCCACTAATACACTTTGCCTTATGTGATAATATATATGGTAAAAATTAAGACGAAAAGGTAAGAAAGTAAAACTTTTGAAAAAAAAAAAGAAAAAAAAAAAGACAAATAAATCAAAGAAAGAGAAAGATGAATAGGCAGAGGACTGTGTTACTATGAAAAATAAAGTTTTGTGATTCCAATTCATGCAAAATCCTAATTCATCTTCTTAATTATTTATAATTTGTGTTTTGTTTTAGTTTAATACAGTCATATTTTTATGTAAATTTTGAAATAAAGTATGTATTGGTTAACAAAGTAGATGGTTTTTCTTTCTTATCGTCATATTATAGTTACATTCAAAGTGAGATTTTAACAAAATGATAGGGTGTTGACTGTTACAATTTTATATGTAAGGATTAAAGTAAAATTTGATCAAAAATGTAAAAAATTAACTATCATAATTTCATATATAGAGGTTAAAAAGAAATTTAGTATAAATTATAGAGGTGAATAGTGTAAATTATTCCCAGGATTACAATTTGCACAAATCTATTTGCTCAGCATACCGGCTATAGCACGTAAAAAGGCGGTTTCTTTCCACACTACCACCAACCGAAAAATTATTTAGTGCTCATAGGATGCTCTGTGAGTTTATTCCCAGCCAATCATATTTTACCATGTCTCCTCCTATTGAAATATAAAATCGTGAGTCTTACATCCATCATCAATCACAGGATGCTTAAAATGTCCCAAAATCAACCAATAACTTCTCTTATCAACCACCACCACTACCTCAACTTCAGTGACCCATCACTTCCGCTTACGTGTCTGAATATCAACCCTTAGATCTTCATCACGACAACCGAATTCCCATCCCATCAACCACATTCCAACAGAAATTATTACGTACGACTGGAATATTAGGGATTTACATCTTTCACAAATTATCATTTAATATATTATTTCATTGGATAATGTTTGAACCCATAAAGGAGGATCCTCATGACTCCTTCATGTATTAATTATTAATGTGTTTAAATTTTTTTTAGAGTTATATGTGATATAAATGATTTAAATTATTTTAAAATTATAAGAATTGTATTTTATGAGATGTCTCTCATTACCGAATTTCATATTGAAGAACTACTCCATACAAATTAATATATTTTATTTTTTTTATCAATCATAATACCATAAGGAAAATATCTCGCAACTTAAATTTTGTGGCTCAAATGGTCAAAACGACGTCGTTTTAACCATTTTTATGTTATTCTAGACTCAAAATGACGCCGTTTTGACCATTTAAACCACTAAATTTGAGCTGCATTGTCGATATCATAATACGTGCTCCAAACTACCCAATAATCCCACTAAGGATCATCTAGAGTGAAATTTTCCTAAAGTTTCCTAGAGTGCTACATTGTGTGATTGAGATTTACTGGCAAGTCACATCAGAAAAATTGATGTGACTTGTCAGTAAATCTCAACCACACAATGTAACACTAGGAAATTTTAAAAAAAAATTACTTTAGAGGATCCTTGCTCCAATAATCCCCCCATTCTCAAAAAATTACACCCTAAACCAGCCCACGACAACGACCAACAAAACATACTCTCTCTCACGCACACTCACAGTTAAAACATTCCTATACAATCTCGAGCATCATCAATGGTGGATTGAAAATTCACTGTTTTCATGTGTATTGATCCAATTCAATTGAACCATGACTAGTGAGGTCAACGATTCAAGGTCTTCCAGAGCAATTCAATTGAACCATGACTAGTGAGGTCAACGATTCAAGGTCTTCCAGAGCCAACAATGGCACGCACTACGCCGCCTTTAACGGCGGCGGCGGCGGAGGGAATGGCGGCGGTAGTGAGTTGAAGGACTGGAAGTTTCATGCGGTGGAGTTCGGGAAGAGTTTGGCGGAGATGAGCGTGGAGTTCGGGAGGGGTTGTAGGGATGTGGTGAATCAGAGCTTGCTGAGTAACGATTCGTTTCTTGTGAGGAAATTTGGGAGACCTTGCGCGAAGCTTTGTGCGAGATTGAGGTTCTTGAATCAGTATCTCCCCGAGGATCGCGATCCGATCCACGCGTGGACTGTCATAGTCTTCGTTTCCATTTTCGCTATTGCAGGTACTGTTGTTGTTGATGACTCTGTTTGGTTGCCTAAAAAATGTTTCAAAACTAAAGGAACTTTTCTTTTAGGGTATAAAAATTAGAATTGAAGTTTTTTCGAACTTGGTCTCAAGGAAATTGAAGCAAGTTAGTTATTCATTAGTATCGCACTCGCTATAACAATATTTAAGAATTAGCAGGTGGCACATGCTTGTGTATGCAATAAATAATAAAAAAAAATTAATATTATGTGAGTTACTTAATAGTAAGTATATTCTTAATGAAATCCTATATCTTTGTATTCAAACCTTGCTTAATTGCGCTATAATATAATAATTTTCTATTTTAATACATAAAATTCTATCACGGACAAGGTTTGGAAATTTGGACACCAAGTCTAGTGTACACATATATAATAGTAATAATAATAATATACTATTATATATGTGAACACTCAGTTTGGTCTACTATTATATATGTGAATATTCATTTTAGTCTCTTGAAACCTACTCACTCCTTCTGTTAAGTGAATTTTTTTTTATCAAAAAAGGAAATTAAAAAAAAAAAAAAAACCCCTAAGATCTTGACTTTGAAAAATAATACCCTTATCACTTGATAACAAACACTATATATTTATAATTCAAAATCAAAATTTATATTTTACAAATTTAATAACAAACCCATCTAGTGGGCTTACACCCTAGTTACTAATAATAGTATAGATGATTTGTAAAATTTTGTATTCATACAAACAGATAGAGAGTTTGAAATTCTCTTATCTAAATTTGATTATGGGATGATGGTTGGCATTGTGCACTAGACATTGGTTAGTTAGAGAATTTAAAATTCTCTTGTCTAAATTTGATTATGTGATGATGATTGGCTCACTAGACATTGGTTTCTTTCTTGTGATCAAATTTATCATAATTCAAATTCAATGCAAAAATGCTTCCTAGACTTATGTTTTTATAGCATCCCCAAAGTCTCCCTATTCCCACTTTTTTCCTATTACAAGGATGTGTTTGGTTTATGAATTTGGGTAAGAATATTGGAAAGGGAAAGGGAAAAGGTGTATTTTCCTCTTTAAATCCATGAACCAAACACAGCGTAAGGAGTGAAATACAAAAGAATTTCCTCCAACGCCTTCCCTACTCAACTCCCTATTTAAGAGAGTGAACTGTTGGCTTGGCTCCCTACTGTTTAAGGAGGGTTTAATCACTCCCTATAATTAAAAAATTATTCTCTCTCTCTCAACCCTCATCTTTTCCTCAAATGGTGAAGGAGAGGGAAGAGTGTTTGGAAAAATATTTTTAAAATATATAGAGAAAAATAGGGAGTATTATTAGAGATCATAATTGAAAAAGTGGTTCCCTAAAATAGGAAATACACTTTTTAGCGAAAATTCGAGGAATAACTAGGGAGGATTGTTGGAGATGCTCTTCTCAATGAATGAAATAAAGCTCTATGTGGGAACGGCGTACAACTTTTGGCAATGTCTTACAAAACAAAGGTTCAACTGCCAAAGTGCCAAGATAAATGAAAGTCTCAACTCTGAAGAAGATTAAGGAATTTGTGGGGGGAGGAATAGAATTGGGAATGAGGGTGCAAAATTTTTTGCAAGACTGCTGACGTAGGACTGTGGAAGTTGATGCTTTTCTGTCTAGAGCAGTTGTAATTATTGCAAATAGTTTTTTGGTACTTTGCGTGCGTTTTTTGGGGAAAAGGGTAGAAAAGGTTCTCATATAAACTGTTAGTTGTAATTATGGTATTTGCCAATAATATATGCTCTTCCGTAGTTGCAAATATCCAGAGACCATTATTTCTTGATCCGATTTACACTACAAAATGTCAAGCAAATAATTTTCCAGTGTTTATTTGTTTCTTCATATAGAATTTGTATGGTGTTTAAGTGTTCCATATTATCTGCAAGATTTCCAATTGGAAAATAAATGAACAATTAGCTGCACATGCAATGCGTTTTTTTAATTGTAACACTGACACAGCTCTTGAATCTGCAGCACTGAGTGTAATTATTGGACATGAGACTAGCAGTCCATTGTTAAAGAGATTGTATATACATCCTCCCGATGCTAGTCGTATATTACTACCGGATGGTAGACACTTGGCTTATCAGGACCAAGGTGTTCTGGGCAACAGAGCTAGATTTTCTATCATCAGCACACATCCTTTTCTTTCATCCCGACTTGCAGGTACAATGATCTCACCCTCAAATCTTCTGGAAAAGTAACTAAATGGAGGAACTTCATGAGTAATAACTGTTCATGCTGATGTTTTGCACACATTTATTTGTTTTGTGCAAATAGGAATACCCGGGCTTAGGGCTTCACTACTGCAAGAATTTGGCATTCGCCTGGTAACTTATGATCTTCCAGGTTTTGGGTTAAGTGATCCCCATCCCAACAGGAATCTTGAGTCATCAGCTATGGATATGTTACAATTATCATATGCTGTGGGTGTCACTGACAAGTTCTGGGTGGTAGGATACTCAGGAGGGAGCATGCATGCTTGGGCTGCGCTCAGATACATTCCTGATAGAGTAGCAGGTATATTGGTCTCTCTCTCTCTCGCTTTTTTTATTTTATTTTTTAATTAGTAAATTTCTCTAAATAAGATGTTGGCCTTTAGGGACCCATGACTTGCAATTTGGAAGGCTGGATTCTGACTAAATGTTCTACCCCTGGGGGTTATGTTGGTTTTTTATCTGCATTTTCTCTTCATCGTGAGTAATTCATGTTCATGTCTTGATTATGTTGAACATTGGTCTGCAATAGTCACTTTGGAATTAGGAGGAGCAGGATTGTCCCATTGGATCAAAAAAGTTTTGATTACCATTAATTTAGCTTGAAATTATGTTGTTTATACAGACGGGTACACTACAATCATTAGCTTTTCTGTCAGAAAATGACGTATGTCAAAACAAGTGAAGAAGTTGGGTCTCTTTATGGTTGCAATATAGCACATCTATTTGATATTAAAGAAAAAAAATTAACACAGTAATCCAAGATGGTGCAATATAGCCCATCTTATAAAAGCTATATATGGCAATGAAACTCTGAAACTAATAAATCCTCAAGGAATTGGACCGTTAACTAGCTGTTTTCAATCAATCTGATATGATCACATATCAAATGGTAATAATATGTTATTCCTTTATACTGAGATTCAAATATCTATGAACATACATGACATTGTGCAACTGCACGATCATTATTTGCCATTGAAATACTTATGATATGTTTCAGAAAGTATTGTGATGCTTCAGTGTCACCCACATGATAAATAAAGAGATGAATATTTTTGTTCTGTTGATGCTTTTTATCTCTGATCCATCCTTGGCCGAATTTGCAGGTGCAGTCATGGTTGCTCCAATGGTTAATCCATTTGAACCAAGCATGACAAAGAAAGAAAGATATAGAACCTGGGGAAATTGGACACCACGAAGGAAACTAATGTACTTTTTAGCTTGGAGATTTCCTAGTTTTCTTGCTTACTTCTACCGGCGAAGCTTCCTGTCTGGAAATCATGGTCAGATAGATAAGTGGCTATCATTATCGCTAGGAAAGAGGGCAAGTCATGTTGCCAAATGCCAGTCAATCACTATTCCTGCTTTGATCTCAAATATTTTCTTTAAAATTTAGATTTTTGGCTATTTATGATTCAGATTGCGATGTACTTAAGGATTGATTGATGTTTATTATAATGTTGATTTGTCTAGGATAGAGCTTTGATAGAGGAGCCAATGTTTAAAGAGTTTTGGCAAAGGGACGTAGAGGAATCAGTCCGACAGAGAAATGTAAAACCATTTGTGGAGGAAGCGGTATTGCAGGTTTCAGATTGGGGTTTCAGACTTTCAGACCTCAACATACAAAAGAAACGCCGAGGAAAAGGCATCACCCTTTGGCTTAAGTCTATGTACAGCCAGGCAGAAGAAGAATTGACAGGCTTTCTTGGCCCAATACATATATGGCAGGTCAGTGCATATATTTCTTTTCATATTCTCAGGCCTCAGATTGGTTTGAATGCAATAGTTACTGTCTGGATAACTTGTTATATTCCCTATGTGATCTTCTCCTTCATAACTTTTAGGCCATGTTTGTTTGGGTGGATATGAAATTGGGATTGGATTAATAATCCAACAAAATACATAATCCCATGTTTGGTTAAGAAAATTGGAGTTTGGACTGAGAGCCCACCTGTACATGGTATTCCCCATATAGGGACTCTTGAATCCCAAGAGACGGGGTGGGATGGGATACAAAATGGGGGACTAAGGAGAGGTTCAGACCAATTGGCTAAATTACAAAATTGGTAAGATTTTGTCAATCCCTTCTCATAATCCCAGGGTCAATTCAAACATGGGATATGATACACAATTCAAAGGGATTGATTGATAATCCCAAGACCTAAACAAACATGGCCTTATTTCTCCTGAACATATTGTAGTAATGACATGAGATTACCTATGTAGGGATAACCATGGCAATGGATTTACTTTTTGTCACGTGGAATGAAAAAAATGGCCCTAATTTTTAATGCTTTGCTCATCTTGGAAAGAAGTAGAAAAAAGAAAGAAAAAGGTCAGAAAATGATTAAAGCATCATTTCCCTTCCCAACTTTCCAAGATCCAAACTGTGCCTACAAAAAATTATTAGCAAACCAAATGTTCAATTGATTGTACTCTCAAATAAACTTCAATCTGCAGATGGAGTAATTCTTTAGTTTTATTCAAACCTTGCAAAAATTAGTTTGATACCAGAAACGGTTTCCCAAGAAACAAACATATCCTTGTATTTTTTGTGTTGCACTTGTTTTTCAGAAGGATTACCAATCTAAATCATATAGATTCACTTATGCTTACCTTTTTTTCCCCTTCCTCTGAATTTTCTTGTACTGAACAGGGTATGAATGATAGAGTTGTCCCACCCTCAATGACAGATTTTGTGCAGCGGCTTCTACCAGGAGCGATGGTGCATAAGCTCCTTTACGATGGTCATTTCACCTATTATTATTTCTGTGACGAATGCCATAGACAGATTTTCACTACCATTTTTGGAAACCCACAAGGGCCACTTGCCGCTAAAGTAGATAGTGAAGAGATAATGGAAGAGGAAAACCTTGGTGATTCTGTCATGGACTGAGAACATATTCTGGTTCAGTTGATCAGATTCTGATGTACATACTACAGGTTTGCTCCATTACTCGTCGATCAAATTAGTCTATAAAGCCATTAGTTTTGTTTGGAGTTTTGTATTAGCACAGATAGGGGTTGGCAACTTGAGGGGGGAAATTTTGACTGCAGAGAGAGAGAGAGAGAGAGAGAGAGAGAGAGAGAGAGAGAATAAAAAAAAAACACAGACTGCAAATGATTTCCCACCAAATTTCATCATTTTTAGAACTCTAGCAGAATGCTGAAATCATCCAGAAATAGAAAGGCAACCGAAAACCCAGATGCCAGATACATGACATTTATGCTATGTTTGATTCGCGGATAAAAGAGGTATTTTATTCCGAAATAAAATAATTCCATGTTTAATTTAGATTGTATTTTATTCCGAAATAAAATAATTCCATGTTTGATTTAGATTTTGTGAACTGGAATAACTTATTCCGATTGCCATTTTATCTTTGCATGTGTGAAATTATTTTGTTTTGGAGAAAACTGCATTAACTTATCTTGGGATGAGATTTCCATAGCAAAATAACAAAATATTATTTTCAGGATAACTTATCCTGGGGCAAGTAATCAAACTTAATCCAATTTCTAAATCAACAATGATAAAATTAAATAGTGCATACAAGTGTATGGAAATAAAGCAGAAGTAGAAGCTAAAACCATAAAAATTTGTTGCTCCAACAAGAACTGGTGCTTCGGATCAAATGGTCCTATTTCTTTGCAGTTTGGGGCCATTTACGTCTTCAATATTGAATCTAACTTCTTGATTCCCTTCCTTCCTCATAACCAACCATCTTTGACTGCCATTGGCAACCCATAATCTTCCTCTCTCAATGTCCCCATCAATCGCTGCTCTCAGACCCTCCGTGGACTCCTCCGGCCTGACTATCCAAGTGAAATCACGAACTCCAGCATTGTACAACACAATGATTGCCGTTGATACAATTAGTTGAACAACCCAAGGAGTGGTGGCGAGCACGGTGCCAGATATGGCAAATATTTGGGCGTAGATGAGTTGTTTTTGGGTGTTGGCGGTGGCGAGGCGGAAGAGGACGGCTCCAACAGCTGTGATCCAAAGGGAGTGGATCAGGATTGAGCCGAGTCGGAAGCCCTGGACGGTGGAGATGGAGGTGTTGGTTTTCATTGTTGGGATTCGAGGGTCGAAAGGGCAGGGATGGGATGGGATGGGATTGGATTGGGTGGGAGTTGGCATTTGATTAAGTTTTGGACAAATGGGAGGGAAACTTTATTTGAAATTCCGTTGGTTGAGTTTAGGATTAACTCTATTCTGTTAAGATTAGCTTTTATTTTCTATATTTTCTCTTGTAATTTATCTTGTTTAATTTAAAAATATATATAATTAGTAGATGATTTATCTCCTCTCCCATTCGAATTATCAATTGTGTCACCTTAGCACTTTTTATAAATCAAAGGTGGGTTTGTTTGGTAATTGTTCTGTTTTTAATTTCTGTTTATATTTACAAAAATTTTTAAATTGTCATATAAACTTGTTTGACAAGTTTTTGAGTTTATAAAGATGGCTATTATTAGCACATACTTAATTTCTTTGGACCATTCATTTCTTTGAACCTTTACCTTAAATCTTAAATTTTAATAAGATTTTTTTGAACACTCCACGTAATACCAATTTTATTCATATTCATAATATCATCATAACCAAGTGCATACCCACTTAATTTTGCACATCCTCTCTTCTTCTTCTCTCAGTAAACGATGCACTATTGAGAAATGATTGAGAATAACAAATGATTGAGAGATGAATCAATTGTCCCTCTCTTTTCTATCTCTCATAAACGCATAAACGATGGTCTTTCTTTCCTTATCACCATGAACGATGATATTTCAGCCAGAAATCTCTTCGACGGTCTTTTCTTTGTCTCTCAGGTAGCCTCCAACTCCTCATTACATATTATTCTTTTTTTTATTTTTTTATTTTTGAGATAAAACCCTTGATACATACAGGGGGTTTAGAGGGAATAACCATTAGAAAAAATAGAAATTGGAGAAAATCCTACAAAATGAAACTGTTCGAAATTTTAGTGCCGAACAAAATATTTATGTTTAGCACTATACTATTGAACAGAATCTTAACAGTTGGCAAACCAGTACCGAACTGAAAACGATCTAAAATCATAAATGCAAGATAGATAAACTTACCAATGCAACAACAACTTCATCAGAGTTGTTGTCATCGTTCTCCATTGCTCTATAAGTATCAACAAATGGTGAAAACAACTTAATAAGATTGTTTGCAATGTTAACTGGTTTTGAATACCGAACACATTTGAAACTACCAAACAAAACGTTAATTGATTAGATGGTTTCAATTTTTTTCATTGAAAATGAATACGTATGATGAAGAAGAATACAGTTAGGGTTTAGTTTGATAAGCAATATGTATAGATAGGGATAGAGGTGGGTGTACAATATTGTAGAGTATCATTCTAATTGTTTTTATTTAGTAGATGGGTGTTCCATTAAAAGTTGTCCTTTAATGTAATTTTATTTCATGGTATAATTGTAGTAGAAAAAAAGGTGAGAATTGGGAAGTCCAAAAAAATTAGATGGATACTACTAACAACACTTAATTAAGAATTAAGCTAAAAATTATAAGCTAAAAAAAATGTGTTTATAAAAATTTAAAAGCTAAACAAAAATGTGGAAGTAATGCGGAAGGAACAAGGATGCACAACGTCAGCTGCTCTAATCACGAAAGTAGCATTTTTTTGTTTGGTTTGTTTTTGGGAAAAATTTTTGAAAAAAATTTTCTACAAATAAATTTTCAAGAGTAATTAAATCAAACAAATTTTTTCAAAAAAAATCTCAAAATTTTATTTGGTTTGCTTCTTTCCAAAATCACTCTCTCTCTCATACACATCAAATCAATCACTTTTTTTAAAACTCTCTCTCCCAAAACAATTTTCCAAAATCATTTCTGAAAAAAAGCAAACCAAACAAGTTTTCATACTTTTTATCTCAAAAATTACTCTACAAACACAAACCAAACAAGCCCTTGCGGAAGACTTTGTGTTGCACAAGGTCAGTTGTTCAAACCACGGGAGCAGCATTCCTGAAAGCATTTTTTAAATATTTTGCTCAAATCAAAAGTATTTTTAATTTTTATTTTTTTAAATTAATAAAAATTAGTTTACAAATTTTTTATAAACATAAATGTTACCAAATGGCAACTTTAGTTTAGCCAAGTGAAGTGCTCACCTAAAGTTCTTAATATTTTGAAAACCTCATACTTTTATTTTGATATTTTTTAAAATCCCTGCAAAAAAATTGTTGTCTAAAGGGCTTTTGACAAAATAAAAAATTAATTTGTCAAAAACACCAAAAAAAAAAATTTAAAAAAAAAAAAGAAACATTTGAAAATACAAAAAATAGAGGAAGGGACCATTTTCTCAGGTTTCCAGCAATAGCCCAGCAACGAAGATTACAAACCGACTTCATTTGCAGATATCTTCGTCGCTCGACTCTACCGGCGATTCCCTCACCACATCTTCACTTTCGGGAAGCCCTTGAGGACTCTGCCTTAATATTTGCAGAGCTTTCTCTTTTAGAAAAACAAAATGTCCTAAGGCCCCAAAGTAAAATTTGTAAAAATATTTATTATCGTATTTGTCTGATCATTTTATTTCGCCTCTCATGTATAATACACAATGAAAATCATATGTACATCTAGGCCCCATTTTATTTTAAATTATTGAAACTTATCATGTTAGATAAAAAAAATTGAAAAATTAAGGTGAAATATTTTTGTATACATAACAACCCTTAAATAAAATTTCTTATTGTTCATGAAGTCCAAAAACATAAGCTGAATAAGAAATTTCTTATTAAAGATCCAACTCACAAGAATAAAGATAGTAAATGATATCTTAATTATTATAATAGATATATCCCCACACACATAAAAATAAATAAATAAATAAATTACAAATATTATACGTAAAAATTAATATTTATTTATAAAAAAAGGTCCACTTTCAAATTTTGCCTAGTACCTCAAAATGGTTGGGAGCATTTCCAAGAAACCCTTTTAAAATAGGCGTGTTAACTATTATAACTAATACCATTTTATTTTAATCACTCTAATCGGCTAGTTATTACAATAGCTATTTTAACTAAATTTGTCAATAATAGCTATATTTGAAGAATAATAGTAAGCTCTTGTGGACAAATAAGTAAAATAAAGAATATTATTGGAGTACATAATTAAAAAAGAATTAGACAAAATAAAAGTATATCTTTCTTATATTTTAGCTAGTAAAAGAGTATGATTGGAGTGTAACGCCCTCAAATTGTTATATAAATCAACCATTCACAAGAATCATAAACGTAATAGAAATGTTATATTTCATTCAACAGGATTTATATTACAAAAGATATTATATGTTATTCTTTAATGTTAACAACAGAATGAGTGCTCTACGCGCTTACATCTTTCCAAGTTGTTACTTGGTTTCAACAAGAGAAGAGTCCTAACTCTTTTACATATAAAGCCCTTGGCTTGAATTTATATTTAAATACAAAAATGATAAGAAAAATGGAGCCTTCAGCCCCTAAACCTCCCAAGCTAAGTCCTTGAAGGCGGCATGTCACATGTATCTGAAAAATGGTTTCCCAAGTAGGGTGAGCCAAAGCCCAGTAGAAATATGCTAAACAATATATGAGAATCAACTAAACTATGAGCATCCGATAAATGTGCAGTATTCTAAACCAACACACATTCTTTTCAAGGTCATTCAATACAGATAGCCAATATCTCGATTCATTTCGGGTAAATCAATTTACCAAGTTCATAATTATCAAAACAACCAAAATGAGATTTCAACTCAATGGTTCACAATTCAATGCATTCATCAATCCAACACTTCTATTTCTTGCCATTTTACGGAACTACGTCCAAAGGAACCGGCACCCACAAATATATAAGATTTCGGGACTTTTACCCAGGACACTCCGATTGTGAAAACCCGCATTTAATTATTCAAAATAATAATAATAATAATAATTTTGTGGGTGTTCAATATTTGTTGTTTATAAATTATTTTAATAAGAATTCAACATAATAATTATCTTTAATAAATATCTTAGTTAAAAACCTTAGTTTTAAAAATCCCATACAAATACACACACACACACACAAAAAGAAGAAGAAGAAGAAATTTTCGTGGCTATGCCACCTGCTTGTTTGCATGGTGGTATAGGAACCATAACCCATCATCCTCCTTAGAATTTAGGGAAAGCCTTCCTTCTCAGAACTTGGAGAAAGTGAATAAGATATAATAATGGAAAGAATGTGTGTGAGAGAGAGAGAGCCTCAGAGAAGTGGCTCTATATATTCATACCACACACAGTG